ATATTACCCTAAACATCTTTACTCAAATGTCAGGAAAAAAAGCATGTTAATAGTTACACTCTTGATGATGATTTTGTTTAACATGTGTGTAACGTGTCGTCTACTGAACAGAGAGAAAATGAAACAGTGATTGAATTCTGAGAATTGATGATTCAAATATAAAGACGATATGTTACACGTGTCAGATGTTGATATTTTCGAAGATGAAATTGATAGAGTTATTAGTACATTCAGATAAAGCTTATGGTCATAATTTGTTGTTTAATGAGTTTATCTTATTTAAAGGTAAAGAAATTTTAATTCCATATTTAATAACAAGGTTCGGGTTTCGGAAAAACGTATCTACAGCAGATGCAATATTTGTTTTACAATCAAATAAATAGAACGTTGAAAAACAAACGGAAATTACATTGTTGTTTTAAGATTATTAGAAAGTGTTTAATTTGTTAATGGACAAAATGTTTGGTACAAGCCTACCAAAGAAGGTGTTGAGGATAAAAAATGTCAAATATTATTTGAGCATTGTATAAAGTGTTGTGTTAAATTTAATTATTCTTTTATTATTTTATTCGGATTTCTTCAATTGCAAGAAGGGAATATTTCAAGGCAAAATCATGATTTTATTTCTCTCTTTAAGTTAATGATTGTGAGATGCATTTTTTGAATAGATACTTGTCCTTTTATAGAACTAAAATCAATCATTTTATTTTTTATTAATGTATGTAAATGATATAAAATTAGCTGATCAGCAGAAGTATCGCAGAAAATGTTAGATTAATGTTTATTAACTCGTACTGTTAAAAACATAGGTTATGTTTGTTATAAATGCTGGTCAGTTGAAGGAGACAATAGTTATATATCAGAAAATGTTGATAGTTTGAATTATCTTGGAATTGTATGAAATTCAATGGTAAATTAAATTGGATACAACAACAAAATAGCTAAGCAAGGAAGGAAATCGTTGTTTGTCCTTTCAAACATTTCATAGAGAAATATTTTAATATTGAAACTCAACGTTTTCGAAACATTTATAGTCAACTGAACTATGGGTCTGATGTTTTGGGATTTCACAAAACACTTGATATAGGAAAAACATAATGTAAAGAGGAACTTGGGGGTTACAAATGTAGATTTTACATCATTATTTATCAACAATGTGGTAGATGTCCTTACATATAATTCGCAAATTGAGAAATTTCAGATATTGGCATAAACTTAGAAACTCCGATAATTGTATTCGAAGGGCTTGTTACGATGATGTGATTGAAAAGAGGAGCGAATGGATGGACAGTTTAAAAAATGAATTATTATGAATAGGTTAAGGGTAGTTGGGAGAATATTTTAATTATAGCAATGAAATTTTCATTCTAAATTTAATTGAATGCAGCGTGAGTGATGTTTTTCAGCAAGAATGTATGAATTTGATCAAGTGGTCTTTTAAGTACTCACTTCATAGATGTATAAGTAGCACATTTTGTCAGAAGAAGTATTTAACAAAACCTAATTGTTTATGAAATATCCAACAAATTACAAAAATATATGATGTCGAATAGATTGTATAGTATAAACCGGTGGTGTGTTAATGATGAAAGAATCAACAGAATCAACACATATTGTACCAGTTGTGATATTGAGGATAAATACAATTTTATCTTAAAATGCGGGCAATATAAAGATATAAGAAAATGTTTGGATGTGTGTGGTCCGTCAGTGTTGTGAGTGATATACAGAATTATCCTCTACACTCTGATTGGATGTGTGTGGTCCGTCAGTGTTGTGAGTGATATACAGAATTATCCTCTACACTCTGATTGGATGTGTGTGGTCTGTGAGTGTTGTGAGTGATATACAGTATTATCCTCTACACTCTGATTGGATGTGTGTGGTCCGTGAGTGTTGTGAGTGATATACAGTATTATCCTCTACACTCTGATTGGATATGTGTGGTCTGTGAGTGTTGTGAGTGATATACAGAATTATCCTCTACACTCTGATTGGATGTGTGTGGTCTGTGAGTGTTGTGAGTGATATACAGAATTATCCTCTACACTCTGATTGGATGTGTGTGGTCTGTGAGTGTTGTGAGTGATATACAGAATTATCCTCTACACTCTGATTGGATGTGTGTGGTCTGTGAGTGTTGTGAGTGATATACAGAATTATCCTCTACACTCTTATTGGATGTGTGTGGTCTGTGAGTGTTGTGAGTGATATACAGAATTATCCTCTACACTCTGATTGGATGTGTGTGGTCTGTGAGTGTTGTGAGTGATATACAGTATTATCCTCTACACTCTGATTGGATGTGTGTGGTCCGTGAGTGTTGTGAGTGATATACAGTATTATCCTCTACACTCTGATTGGATATGTGTGGTCTGTGAGTGTTGTGAGTGATATACAGTATTATCCTCTACACTCTGATGGGATATGTGTATTCTGTCAGTGTTGTGAGCCGTATTTCTCGTGTTTGTTGTTATGTTTGTATTTACACTGTAAATATATGTACTGTACTGATAAACTGTAAGGTTTATGGTAATAAATCATTTAATGTTTTTATCTTATTATTCATTATTTCCACTTGATTGATTATATTATCAGCTATAAGTATTTTTATCTTGTTTAGTTGAGTTATACTCTATTCAAAGAGTAAGATGCTCATGTGAGGTAAACATAAACACTGAGCTGTGATGCTCATTTTCCTGGCAGATTGCTAGCTCGGACTTGAGGTAAACATAAACACAGAGTTGTGATGCTTCAGATTGCTAGCTCGGATTGTGTTGGCCAGCACATCTCACTCAGTTATAACGACCATTCTTGCCATAACAAGCCCATTCAATACATAATAATACGACTTCACTGTTGTCTTATTGTACCTTCATTAATGTCTCCTGCGAGACAGGTGTAACTATAAATGGTTCCTGTTATCATTATGACTGCTACTTCTAATGTTGCCTTGGCGAATTAGATATTATTAATAGGTTGTCTCTGTTTTATTGATATTTCACTGAATCGGAAATAAATAAGGTATAATTCTTAAATTTTAATATCAAAGATTTTCAGTTTACATATCATCAATTAAAACAATCTGAAAGATATGAAAATGTTTATATGACGAATAACTGCGTTTAAAATGCGTGTGCACGGTTGTACAACAGACACACAAGAGAATAGCACCTTTCAAAATTATCAAATTCCACCACACAGACGTTTAGTGCTCATCCAGTGATGCTAGAGGAGACTGTATAAATTAAGATTTGATTCAACGAAATAACAAAATCTAGATAGGCCGCTTCACCACCACATTTATTTAATAAACTTCGTCATTTTTATATATTCGATAATTTTATATGAACTTATGTACTGTAGTATGAATTAAAACGTGGTGTGCAGGTTGCGACAAACCTCGGAGACTCGCATGCCAGCAGCTGTCGGAATATTTAAAGACGAAAATCCAGCTGTTCTAATTATCATATTAAATTACACGAAAGATCAAGATAAACAAGACAGAATTAAATATAGACTTAATTCTATCTGTTTGTATCATCACCTTTAAATACCTTGGGGAATATGATACCAGTTTATGGATTATCGAAGATCAAAGTAAGAGTTTTTCATGAACTGAGATTTGAAGTAAAATTCACTGATAAATATCTTATTCAGTTACGAAGCACATGAATTGGAAGAAATCTTGTTTTTCGGTAGTGTGATATGACGAGTATCAGCCCCTACATATATATTGACGTCACAATAATGCCGAATATTTTCCAATTTCTGTACAAAGAGCAGTTTGAATAACCTGATAGAAATGCCGTAAAATTTTTAACAAATCTGATATTCAGTGCTGCTGTGACATGTACTCGAATTGTTGTTGTTTATTTGTTTGTTGGTGCTTCTTCTATTGTTTTTAACGAACAAACATGATATCCATATTGCTGAGAGGGAACACAACAAGATGATAAAAATCTGGTTTCATACTCGGGAAGGAATAGTAATATTACTATTACGTAACTTTCAATTAATAATACAAGGTTCTGTCATTTAAAAAGACACCTATTTCGTTACAGTCCCTTATCAACGAATAAAATAAAGTTGATATCCTAATTTGATAAAGGAGCAAACTCAACGTCGATATGATTTTGAGAGTTAAAATCAACTATTTGTGATTTCAGTACAATATTTACAAAGTAGAATTGATCGATAGCTGTACTGTAAGGTATGCCCCCTCCCCTTATCCCTACCTCTCAATCCCATCCTCACCCGTCCCCTCCCCTTTACCTTCCAAATCCAAGATGGTCGCCTAACGGTCCTTTGTTTTCCTGATAAGTCTCAAAACCAAAAGAGCGCAACTAGTGACGAAGCGAAACTTACATTCATAATCTGAGAATAAGTAAAATTCCAAGATGGTACCAGACATTTATTTTGTTTTTTCTAATCAGTCCAACATCAAACCAGCACAACATGGGTCCAAATCAAACCTACATATGCTATTTGAGGATAATCTATTGAGTACCCCTCAAAAAATAGCGATAACAGACTTTCGTAATCAAAGATGGTCGGGCGAATTGAATAGCCCACTATTTGATAATGATCTCCTAAAAAGGATGCATCCTGTAAAGTGTGCAACTTTGAATATCAATTAGTTACTACATGATTGAAATACGTCATCTTTAGGTGAACTATGCTACTTTAAGCAACTCTGGTTTTATCTTGTATGTTGTCGATCGCGTTGTCAATGGTACCACCTTGCTGGGGCGTATATGTGGATTGCCATTTTCGCGCGGGAAATGAGATAAGGCGGAAAGGTAGTACGTTAAAGGATAACTCGAAAACCTTAATTACGTAATTCGTGATATCATACTTGTCATTCCTAGTGCTCTGTCATGGAGTCTGGTTGTTTCCCCTCTTCCATTTGAGCATACAGAGGACATCCTGAACAGACAAAATGATGCTTAATATTTATTAACAGAGTTTTTGTGTCTAGGATTAACGTTGGTACTTACTGTTTGTGGCTGGTCCGGCCTGTGTACTCTGCCACAGGCACATGGCTATCCGAGTGTAGGCGAATCCCATGATAAAAAGAGGGAGAATGTAGTAGGCTACAGTGAGGAACATCTGATACACTAACTCCTTTTCTATATCAGAGGGGATGCAGGCTGTGAGCCAAATGTTCCCGATGTCCGGCGGAATTAGGTTATCCGGTAACAATGTAAGGAAGACGAGATCAGGTATGGCCACCAGGAGGGATAGGAGCCACACCATCCCAATCACAAGGATCGTCTTGTACTTGGATACACGGAAGGACAACGGATGACAGATCGCCATGTAGCGCTCTATTGAGATCGCCGTCAGAGTGAGAACGGACACCAGGACGGATACTTGCTATAAAACAATAGGAAATAGGAGTAAAATATTAAAAAATATGGAAAAAAACATCATCTCTAAATAAATAACGAAATAACAAATACAGGAAAAAAATTGTCAAACGCTTCCAGAATATTCCTATGTACAATCTAAACACGAGTAATGCAATACTTGCGGTATATAAGAATATAAAGTCGTTATCATGGATAGCGGTACTTTCAATCATATAGCTGAAATGCATTTTATTATTACTTACATAACGAACCGATATGGGAAGAGAAAACAAAATGAAAAGGCATTGTCCATAGTAACATTTTTTTTTCTAATGAAATAAAAGACACTGAAAGATAACAGTCTAAATATAGGACTAAATAATGATAAAGAAAATATGTCAAAAATCGGATATCAGATGTTCTACGTTCACAATATCCTTTCCTGGCTGTGAAGCTCTAGATTAAACGTCGGTTAATGTACGATGTACATTGCAGTATTTATCTGGCATATCAGCGGTTTTACATTATAACTGTATAGTAAAAAATTGAAAACCTTTCAAGTATATGGAAACTCACTCATTTGAGAGATATATGTCTGACTTGTTCTTCATATCTACAGGATAGCATAGTGTAAATTCTCATGGAAAGTCACGCATTAGAGAGAGACATGTCTGACCTATCCCCATGTCTACAGGATAGCATAGTGTAAATTCTCATGGAAAGTCACGCAGTAGAGAGAGACATGTCTGACTTGTCCCCATATCTACAGGATAGCATAGTGTAAATTCTCATGGAAAGTCACGCAGTAGAGAGAGACATGTCTGACCTGTCCCCATATCTACAGGATGGCATAGTGTAAATTCTCATGGAAAGTCACGCATTAGAGAGAGACATGTCTGACTCGTCCCCATATCTACAGGATAGCATAGTGTGAATTCTTATGGAAAGTCACGCATTAGAGAGATACATGTATGACTCGTCCCCATATCTACAGGATAGCATAGTGTGAATTCTTATGGAAAGTCAGGCATTTGAGAGATACATGTATGACTCGTCCCCAATATCTTCAGTGTAGCATTGTGAGACTTTTCTATGGAAACTCAGGGTAGCTAAATAATGAATCAAACTTAATCCTACAGCTATTTCGTCCTTCTAGGATTCATCAGTGTTGCCGAGAGTCTAGATTGTTGTTTTATATGTAGGAGACGACTGAGGTAAACCGCAGTTGGTCGAAATACAATGTAAATGTCAATAACGCAATAAGATTTGGAGATGCACTACACCACCCTCTCCACCTCCCTGAGCTGTGCCTCCATTCCTGAATTCCTCACTAAGCATTAAAAAAAGTATATTTAATTGGAATTTTTACCTTCTACATATATTTTATCATTTTCAACCGAATTGAAAAAAATGTTATATCACCTGGGCCATAATATTTTATTTCAATCAATCCTTCCTCTCTATACATATATATTGTAGATTCCTTTGACTTGGTTTACTAGGTGTTGAATCAATTTGAAACATGTACATTTCTATGTCTTATTTCAGAAGAATCTCATTATAAAACACACATCAGAACTGCGCTGTTTTTAATTTGAAACAGTATTTCCTGTTTCAATACTGTTCTTCGGAGTGCCAGTACCCTCGAATTATAGCCTTAAAAACTCATTGCTATCTTGCATACGTTTCGCCAATATACAGCCCGGGGCAACAAAGAAATAAATAAACCTGATACAGTGTATCAACAAAAATGAAGCTGTTAATCTGATATTTTTTTGTTTCGTGCTATGAAAAATGATTTTTGATATGGATCAGCTGATATCTTGTCTTGTTTTATAAGTTGTCACAGATATGAAGGCTCCGTCTGTACCGACACCAGATTGTAATTCATATATTGTACACATTTTAATTTGAAACAAGCCATAGTCTTTGCCTTGGAGTGTCTCACAATGAACTTAAGTAACGTGGAATAAGTTGTACACAGACGTACTGAATGATTAGCTCAAAGATAAATGAGAAACTGGTTCGAAATTGAAATGTATTAGTTTTCCCCAGGCCATATAGAATAATTGAATTAAAGTAATGGTATTTAGAAAATGTCTCAGAGGAAACAGAATTAACTGCATTTGATATATTGCGGAAGTAATCATATGGTGTTGCATTGCACCAGTCAAAAGTCAGCATTATAATCACGAGACGTATAGCATTACCCTCGTACTCTTATCAAGTATAAAATTTTATTTTTCACTGATCTCGTTTGTTTTGTCCAATTGATCATTAGAGATCTAATTATTACAACTTATGACTCGCGGCATCACTTTTCCGGTGAGGTATCGTGAATATTTTAAGTTAGATATCGATTTTATCGACAAAACTACTTCAACATATATCAATATTTTAATTCGATAAAAATTACAAATGAATAAAATTACTACCCTAGATTCTACCAGAATCATTTGGGAACGTGGCATAACTTACCTAGATTGACTTTCGTGTACTTTTATCAGAAGTTTCCTTGAAATTTTGTTTTCTTGTGTTCATATTTTGCCTTAATTTCATCGAATACGAGTTAGAACTAAATTTATGTTGACATGTCGGTATTTTCTTTGTTGTTGACTGACACAGTGAACATCATATGGGAGGTTCGTCGCATGCAGTATAATAAGGCTAGAGTGTCTTGCCAATTGACACGTCCATTTCAGGACAGACCGGTATGTTTCTCTGTTTCCACAGAAACACAAAACCGCCACAGACAAGGTGCTTCAGACCATGCATCTGAGAACCTTCACGTGAGGTTGCATAGGCCAAGACTCAACAGTCTGAGGTGTCGATAATACGAGATTGGGTTTAGTATAGTTTATATCGGTATCTGTTATCGATATCTGTAATATCATAACAAGCAGTATTTTGTACACTGTTGCAAACTTGATAACTTTCCAACCGAAGACACCTTCGCATGTTGTCTGAAAACATATCCTAATTAATTACATGCCGACTGCTCGGTGCAGCCTTTCATTCAACAGTACTTGTTATGTAGTAAACAACTGGGTAAACGTGACCAGACTTTCGCACATTTCTGAAGACTAGAAATTTTCTTCGCAGGAAATTGCAGCAGGAAATTGTGGAGGAGAAACCAAACAGGCTAACCGTTTTCATGTTTTTATACTTTTTAATTCTCAAATGATTACGAAAGAAGTTTAAAAAAGGCGCTGCCGTAATCAGAAAGGATTCGTTTACTTCCTACATCTTTTCCTTCAGATTAGTTTTAACGTCAACAAGGCGGTGAAATTGTAAACAAACACTTCCATTCAATTCAGATAAAATTCCAGCTTTCCTAATTGATTTATTTGTAAAGCAAGAAGAACGACAAATGACAGATTAACTTTAAATACTTATCCTTGCTGTTTTTATGCTGATGTTGTACTAAATACTTATCCTTGTTTTTTATGCTGATGTTGTACTAAATACTTATCCTTGCTGTTTTTATGCTGATGTTATACTAAATACTTATCCTTGCTGTTTTTATGCTGATGTTGTACTAAATACTTATCCTCGCTGTTTTTATGCTGATGTTGTACTAAATACTTATCCTTGCTGTTTTTATGCTGATGTTGTACTAAATACTTATCCTCGCTGTTTTTATGCTGATGTTGTACTAAATACTTATCCTTGCTGTTTTTATGCTGATGTTATACTAAATACTTATCCTTGTTTTTATGCTGATGTTGTACTAAATACTTATCCTTGTTTTTATGCTGATGTTATACTAAATACTTATCCTTGTTTTTTATGTTGATGTTATACTAAATATTTATCCTTGTTTTTATGCTGATGTTATACTAAATATTTATCCTTGTTTTTATGCTGATGTTGTACTAAATACTTATCCTTGTTTTTATGCTGATGTTGTACTAAATACTTATCCTTGCTGTTTTTATGCTGATGTTATACTAAATACTTATCCTTGTTTTTTATGCTGATGTTATACTAAATACTTATCCTTGCTGTTTTTATGCTGATGTTATACTAAATACTTATCCTTGTTTTTTATGCTGATGTTGTACTAAATACTTATCCTTGTTTTTTATGCTGATGTTATACTAAATACTTATCCTTGCTGTTTTTTATGCTGATGTTATACTAAATATTTATCCTTGTTTTTATGCTGATGTTGTACTAAATACTTATCCTTGCTGTTTTTATGCTGATGTTATACTAAATACTTATCCTTGCTGTTTTTATGCTGATGTTATACTAAATACTTATCCTTGTTTTTTATGCTGATGTTGTACTAAATACTTATCCTTGCTGTTTTTTATGCTGATGTTATACTAAATACTTAGCCTTGTTTTTTATGCTGATGTTGTACTAAATACTTATCCTTGCTGTTTTTTATGCTGATGTTGTACTAAATACTTATCCTCGCTGTTTTTATGCTGATGTTATACTAAATACTTATCCTTGTTTTTATGCTGATGTTGTACTAAATACTTATCCTTGTTTTTTATGCTGATGTTATACTAAATACTTATCCTTGCTGTTTTTTATGCTGATGTTATACTAAATACTTATCCTTGTTTTTTATGCTGATGTTGTATTAAATACTTATCCTTGCTGTTTTTTATGCTGATGTTGTACTAAATACTTATCCTTGTTTTTTATGCTGATGTTGTACTAAATACTTATACTTGTTTTTTATGCTGATGTTATACTAAATACTTATCCTTGTTTTTTATGCTGATGTTATACTAAATACTTATCCTTGTTTTTTATGCTGATGTTGTACTAAATACTTATCCTTGCTGTTTTTTATGCTGATGTTATACTAAATACTTATCCTTGTTTTTATGCTGATGTTGTACTAAATACTTATCCTTGTTTTTTATGCTGATGTTGTACTAAATACTTATCCTTGCTGTTTTTTATGCTGATGTTGTACTAAATACTTATCCTTGCTGTTTTTTATGCAGATGTTATACTAAATACTTATCCTTGTTTTTTATGCTGATGTTGTACTAAATACTT